CAAAATGGAGCAAAAACCGACTACATGCTTTTCTGTAGCGTTTCCATTGAATAGAACCAAAAACACAACTTTTTGCATTCAAAAAAAGTCCCTGAACCTTTCCAAAAAATGCACCAGGTGAAATCGCGGAGATGTGAACCTGTCCCATAGGAAATCATGTTAAATGGACCGTACTGCATTGCCGCAAAACGCAGCAGAAAACTCTTAGGTGCGAACCTAGGGTAAGAGCACTGTGTACAGCGTGCGTTTTGCAAAACTTGAAGCCACTATGGGCAGGATAAGCACAAATCTAAATGGGAGTGCTGACTGTCACTTCAAGCCCACATTCAGAAGGGCCTCTTGTATTTTTGTTTTACTTGTAAGAGTGGAAACATTGAGCTGGGAAGAATAAGCAAACTTCATTATTTCTAGATCAATTTTTCCTTTTTTTTTTTTTTTTTCTTTTAAATTAACTTGCATTTTTCTTATTGTGGATAGACTAAGTGAGGATTATAAACCCTATCACTATATATATATATATATATATATATATATATATATATATATATATATACACACACACACATACACACATCCTGTTCCAAATTATTATGCACATTCTATTTAAGTGTCACAAAGATTAAATATTTTGTTTTTCAGTGTAACTCATGGATGGCATTGTGTGTCAGGGCTCTTTTGATCGTGAAAACCATTTCGGACACCTGTGGTAATTAGATTGGCCAGTAAGCCCAATTTAAGGAAAAACTACTAAAGGAGGGTGTTCTAGATTATTAAGCAGAGCACCATTTTCAAGCAGTATGGGGAAGAAAAAGGATCTCTCTGCTGCCGAAAAGAGTGAAATAGTTCAATGTCTTGGACGAGGTATGAAAACATTAGATATTTCACGAAAACTTAAACGTGATCATCGCACTATTAAGAGATTTGTGGCTGATTCAGAGCACAGACGGGTTCGTGCAGATAAAGGCACATTGAGGAAGATTTCTGCCAGATCCATGCATCGGATCAAGAGAGCAGCTGCTAAAATACCATTACATAGCAGCAAACAGATATTTGAAGCTGCTGGTGCCTCTGGAGTCCCACGGACATCAAGGTGTAGAGTCCTCCAGAGTCTTGCAACTGTGCATAAACCTTCTATTCGGCCACCACTAACCAACGCTCACAAGCAGAAATGGCTGCATTGGGCAGAAAAATACATGAAGACTCATTTTCAAACAGTCCTGTTCACTGATGAGTGCTGTGCAACCCTGGATGGTCCAGATGGATGGAGTAGTGGATGGTTGGTGGACGGCCACCCTGTTTCCAACAAGGCTGCGACGTCAGCAAGGCGGTGTTTTGTTGTCATGTTTTGGGCCGGAATCGTGGGAACAGAGCTGGTCGGCCCCTTTAGGGTCCCCGAAGGTGTAAAGATGACCTCTGAAAAGTATGTGGAGTTTATGACTGACCACTTTCTTCCCTGGTACAGAAGGAAGAACTATGCTTTCCGTAATAAAATAATCTTCATGCATGACAATGCACCATCTCATGCTGCAAAGAATACCTCTGCATCAAGGGCTGCTATGGGGATAAAAGGAGAGAAAGTCATGGTGTGGCCACCATCCTCCCCTGACCTCAATCCTACTGAGAACCTTTGGAGCATCCTCAACCAAAAGATCTATGAGGGTGGGAGGCAGTTTACATCCAAACAGCAGCTCTGGGAGGCTATTCTGACATCTTGCAAACAAATTAAAGCAGAAACTGTCCAAAAACTCACAAGTTCAATGGATGCAAGACTTGTGAAGCTGCTATCAAATAAGGGGTCCTATGTTACAATGTAACGTGACCTGTTCTAATGTTTAAAAAAGTTAAAATGTTGTTAAAAGTTTGATTGAAAAAGCTTTTGATTTCAGTAAATATGCTGCAAACACAACAAATGACAATTATCAGTTCTTTACAACCTATAAAGTGTTTTGAAACTTACTGTTAGTAATAATTTGGAACAGTGCATTGGAAGTTTATGTTTAAAAAAATACTGTTATCATTAGGAGGTTTGTTCAATAAAAAGTGAATTGTACTCTTAATAGTTGATAACATGAGAATTATGCTGACTGTTATTTACATCAATTATTTAGGTAAATGAGAAAAATATAATTTGCATAATTTGGAACAGGGTGTGTGTGTGTGTGTGTGTGTGTGTGTGTGTGTGTGTGTGTGTATATATGTGTATGTATATGTGTATGTATATGTGTATGTATATATGTATGTGTGTGTATATGTATGTGTGTGTGTGTGTGTATATATATATATGTATGTATGTATGTATGTATATGTGTGTATATATGTGTATATATATTTATATGGGATTTTCTTTTACTTTCTCTTTTTCAATTATAACTGTAAACAAGACATAGAGGGTGAATCTCTCTAACAGGGACACAGACAGCTATGAAAACCTAATACGTGTTCCAATACCTCTCTACTCTATCTAAAGAAACAAAAAAAAAAACATTTTGCCTTTAGTAATACTTTAACAAAACTGGACCAGCTGTGCATGCATTGATCAGCTTCTAGCTTTAATTTTCCAGGCTCAAAGTGTTACTAAACCCACAACAGTAAAACCAGTATGCAATATGTATTTAAAGCATGCTTGTTATACGAACTATGGAAACTAAGGGGTCAATCCTCCGCACAGTAAAAATACTGTTTGAGCCTGTCTTCCCTGATCCTCCCCTTCTTCCACTGTCTGCAATCCATTTTGCTGATAGTACAGAGACCTAGGAGACTCTCTGCACATGCTCTGTTTTGGTGTGTATTGCTAGAAAGTATTTTTTTGGGGGAGGGTGTATGTGATCAACATGGGGCCAATCATTGTCCAGACCGAGGGTCAGGGGTAATGCAGCCTCATAGGACAGCCAGAGCCAAATGAAAATTCCTCCCTACAAGCTTTAACGTGTGCTCAGCTCGTGCCTTAATAGACACTCTGCACCCGCTCAGTTTAATGTGTGGTGTTAGAGGTTTTTTGTTTATTTTGGGGGGAGAGGGTGCATGTGATCAGCACAGGGCCAATCAGCGCTGTCTAGACAGCGAGTCAGAGGTCATGCAGCCTCATAGGACAGTCAGAGGAGAATGAAAGCTGCTACAACTAGTGCTCAGCTGGACACTGTTAGAAGTCACAAGATTGCTATATAAAATAATTGCTTTTCCATGTTCGGTGTACTGTGGGTGACCAGATATAATGAATGCAGGGTCCTGGGCTTAGTAACACTAACTGAACAAGCAGAGGATAGAAGCTACAGTTTTTAAAATCATTACATGTATGTATGTGGGTTTGGAACTTTCCTATAAATGCATGCCCTTGTGATTGAAGCCTAAACAAGCTGCTGAAACAAAAAAGTGTACTAGTCATATATAATATAATATAATTTTAGGCCTATCAATAAAGGTACAGCAACCCACAAGAAGTTCAGACTTATTCCAGGCAGCTAAAGACACCCCCCCCCCCCCCCCAGGTGACTTGAACATTTATGTCTATGGCTGCATCTGCTCAAATATACCTTTTCTGATGGACAGTCCATATCTACGCATCTATGTGGTAGAGAGTGAAGTACGGAAGGTCTGAATTGTAGATTTTGCCCTTCATGTATACTGTGTGTATGCATCTACTAACGCTAGGGCTGTCAGAGCCTAATTTGTGTGAATGTTACCATTTTTTCATGTAATAGGTGGTTTTAAGTTATTTATTTCTAGACCATTAAAAAGGAAAGACACATAAAGCGCCTAATAAAAAATCCCAGTAACTTGATAATGTATGTACCAGCTAAGTGCAAGCCTAGTACAAGCAGTATTGATGGTTCCCCCTAGAGATTGGTTGTTTAACAGCTTGTCTGAACATCTGTGCTGCTTGGGCTGTAATGTGAACGCACTTTGCTTCACTTTCACATCCAGCATCTGTGCAGAGAAAGCTGCTGCTCAGGCTATTAAAGCACTTGTTCTTGTGCCTCCTAAGAGATGCCTTTTGAGAAAATGAAATCTCTTGCTGGGTTATATGGATATGCCTCTGCTCCTCATACTTCATCATGTTTGCAGAAATCTGGAGTGTACACGGCAGTAGGCATGGAAGATTAGTGTTGTGGCAAGCTGCATGCTAGCCCTATTGTTGCCTGTGTTTATTAAGCTGCTAAATCTCAGGCAAACGTGTAATGTGCACACTTGTACATATAAAATCTAAAAGTTAAATTAATTTGTAGTGCATCCCTGGGAGTCCTGAAGCCTTTCCGATGTGCACGTTGGCACATTCAAAGTTTCATGGATCCTAAATTACTCTATATGTCAACATACCTGCATGCAGGTTCCCTCTAAAGAGAAACTCCAGACTCATCCTAAATTGAGCAAAAGAAAAAAAAAATTACTAGTATAATCAAATGCTGAAAACCGTTTTTCCTCTAAATGCCTGTTTTGTCTTGGTGTAAATCCAAGGCCACTAATCTTCTGAATGAAAAAAGCTTGGTGGGGCAGGGATCTTTCCTGAAAATGTAATGCGAAGGGTGTTAGGCACAGACTATGTACCTAAGCTTTAACCACTAGCCTATAGGGCACTTATACCCCCTTCCTGCCCAGGCCAATTTCCAGCTTTCAGCGCTGTCGCACCTTGAATGACAATTGCGCGGTCAAACAACACTGTACCCATATTAAATTTTTATCATTTTTTTTGTGACAGCGCTTTATTTTGGTGGTATTTAATCACCTCCTGGGTTTTTTATCTTAAACCAAAAACCACTGAAAATTTTGAAAAAAAAAGTTTTTTCTTAGTTTTTATTATAAAATTTTGTAAAGTGATTTTTCTCCTTCACTGATGTGCGCTAATGAGGCTGCACTGATGGGCACTGATAGGTGGCACTGATGAGGAGGCACTGGTAGGTGGCACTGATGGGCATTGACAGGCATCACTGATGGGCACTGAAAGGCAGCACTGACACATGGCACTGTTAGGCGCCACTGACTGGCACTGTTAGGCGCCACTGACTGGCACTGTTAGGCGCCACTGACTGGCACTGTTAGGCGCCACTGACTGGCACTGTTAGGCGCCACTGACTGGCACTGTTAGGCGCCACTGACTGGCACTGTTAGGCGCCACTGACTGGCACTGTTAGGCGGCACTGACTGGCAGCACTGATAGGTGGCACTGACTGGCAGCACTGATAGGTGGCACTGACTGGCATTGATGGGTGACACTGAAAGGCAGCTCAGATGGGCACTGATGTGGCACTGGCACGAGGCACTGATTGACACTGACAGGTGGCACTGCTGGGGCTACACTGATCATCAGGGCACACTGATTATCAGTGCCCTGATGATCAGTGTACATGTCCCTTTCGCGGAAAGCCGATTACCGGCTCTCCTCTCGACCTGTCAGCGTGACAGCTCGAGAGGAGAGAAATGCCGATAACAGGCATTTCCCTGTTTACATGTGATCAGCTGTGATTGGACACAGCTAATCACATGACCGAGCTGACATCTTCGGCTCTTTCTGTGATCGGTGATCCATTGTGTCCGTGGGACACAGCGCACCGCCGATCGCTGCGCGCTCCCTGAGCCGCGCATGCGCAGTGAAAATGGGAGGACGTCATATGACGTCCTCTCAGAACGAGAGAACCACCTTGCGCCCGTCACATTACTATATGGCGGGTGGGAGGTGGTTAAAGCAGAATTATAATTGTTTTTTGTTTTTTAAACGCTGACAGGCAGGGTTTTTATGACTGGTGGTCTCTTCTGTCCTACGTGCTTCTCCCTGCCTGTCAGTGGTAACATGTACACTGAGCCGCACTTGCGAGCCACTCTGGTTTGATGAAGTGACTCCCCTGTGCATGCATGGGAGTGACATCATTACACCCCGGCCGTTCAAGCGACCGAACAGAGGAAACTTGGTAGAAAGATCAAGACACCCGGGAACATCTGGAGGGCATATTTTGTTTCTCTGAACAGTGTTGCTAATCACTGAATCAGAAGTGTTTTTAGTTTTTTGTTTTTCCTTTTGTTTTTCTTTTTTTTTTTTTTTGGCAGCTGCAGATGTTACAACTGCTGTATGTACACAGGAACTCCAGACTGCATTTTCAGAGCCAAGAATTGCTAACAATTGAAAGGGGACACGGCTCAGGGGCAGAAGGACTAGATGTGATAGACATCCTTTTGTACTATAACTGTGTTTGTTTTGCATGTGTAGAATGCCCAGAGTCCTCAATTGGTTAACAAGCAGTCGAACAGTAGTTTGTCACAGCGTGGGCATCTCTCATGAGCTGAGGGTCCACTAATAAAAAAAAAAAGCGATCATAACATTTTGCAAATTTAATATATGTAAAAACGTAATATAGACATTACTGTTAAACCATTCCCCCAATTAAAGGATATACTTATAAAACGTCATCTGTGTGGACACTGTATAGTACAATATAACCTGTACAGATGTACTCACATATGTCCCTCTGTATGTGTATAGTCCTCCCCAATCCATGCCACTAAGAAGAAATGGGGGCTGTATTGCATCAGTGTCTCTAGTGTCAGAAAAATCTTAATGATTTAAATTTCAACTGTATGTGGACCATGTGGGCGATATTAGGTTTTCCCATTTTAGGAGCGGAGACAAATTTAGAGATGTGAAGAACCCTGCCATAAGAAACTATTAACCAAATAAGCATGTCAAAAGTGATCAGACTAAGGTAACATTTGATTTCAAAGGAATAAGTATTGGCAGACTGGGTGAGAGAGGACAGTGTAGACAAATGTAGAAATTGCGGGGGCATGTGCATTGGATATGAGGTGCTGAAGCTGGTAAAGGGTCATCCAACAGCTGGAGTATAGAAGCATTCACATCAGTCCCTGTGACAGAGCAGCTGATTTGTGACTCTGGAGCCCAGCAATGGAAAGTGTGTACCAAGAAATTTTCATGGGAAAAATATGGGGTCACCATTATTGACCTCCCTCTGAAAATGCTGGTTTTCCGGCTGTCATTTTAGTGTTTTACATGTTAGTTTGCATAGGTTGAACAAGCATGTAGGATTTTTAACCAAGTGCAGCCTTTCTAATATTTGTGCCTGTATGGCAATAAAAAAAATATATACTTCCTAGTTCATAGAATACAAGATCTTGTGCATGTTCAGGCATACTACAGGTCTTTTTGCCAGATCGCAAAAATTTGTATTGCACTCTACATCAAAATAGTGTGATACTTTACTCAAACACTGCCTCCTGGAATGTGTGACAGGGATGTTCCATGAGGCTGTGGGTGTCTGATAACCGTCACCCTCACCTGAGGAATCAGTAAGCAGCAACCACTGGTAAAGTAAAATATTTTTTATTTTGTATAGCGTAAGGGCAGGTTATAACAGCTGTCTTTTTTTTTTTTTTTTTTTTTTTTTTTTTTTTATATAAATTTATTTTTTTTTTGCCAGTAAAGTCCCATCGGGGACATTTTCCCTCACTTCCTGTCCCATAACCACAACAGGAAGTGAGGAAAGCCTTGTAAAAGGAGAGAGAGGCTGTCTGTAAACAGGGTCACCAGAACCAGTGCCCCCATTGGAATATGCAACCTATATTCCCATTCTGGTGCCACCCAAAGTTTGGGATTTTTTCTTTTCACTTTTGGTCATACCCATACAATAAACAGAACTAAACTAAAGAAATGTTTTCCCTTTAGTGCCTAAAAAAAACAAAAAAGAAAAGATATTTCCATTGAAAAACTTAAGGAAACTATTTGCTATTGTATAATAGGGAGAGAGGTGGAGGCATATTAGAGGAAGTTCATTTTGTTCTGAAAGGTCCGCTTTGTCTTTGGTACCTAATTGCTTATTTATCAATGTGGAAAACTTCCCCCAAGGAAAAAAGAAATTGCATAATTTATGCTCCCAATTCATATAGCAACTGCTGCTTTTGGGTACAACTAAGATAAGGCCCACTGTTACGTATTCCCAGCAATGAATGTAGTGCTACTTTTGTTGTATGGTTTAAAACAATATTTTATTGATTGTGATTTGCCAGAGCTTTTATTTTATTTCGGCAATCTAAATAGTTTCCATTCATCCTTTTACATTTGACATCCTTTGGGATTGACCTCTTCTGTTGCATACACATTTGAAGATAAGTGTTGGTGGCTTTAGTTTATAGCCAGGCCATTGAAGTGAACATGTAATGGAAACCTGCTGCTATTTTTATGTGTCAGTGTGGTGGACTTATTTGTATAGAGCAGATATAAATAGCTTTGTAGTGATGTGGACCATGTACAGCCTACTAACCCTAAAGTGTACGCTTACTTTTTTTTTGTTTTGTTTACTTAAAGTAAATGTAAATCCAGTCACTAAAATGTAATATAATCTTTTAACAATTTAATGTGGTTTCAAGTTTTTCAGTGTTTTTTTAAATTTACAGCTTTATTAAACTTTTAGACCTGGTGGTACTACTTAAACATTGTTCAGACATTTCCCTTTGTAAGATTTATTTTATTACAGGTACTTATATAGCGCCGTCAATTTATGCAGCGCTTTACATACATATTATACATTCACATCAGTCCCTAACCCTCAAGGGGGGGTACAATCTAAGGTGACAACACTCTCTGAACTTCTCAGTTGCTCTCCTGCGTGGTCACCCTGTCACGGTTGTTTCCAATAAAGATTATGGTGGTTGTGCTCATTGAGCAGGCATGTCGCCATTAGGAAGCCTGTACTCAGCAGTGATACCCAGTTGTCACTGGATTGTATACATGAAGACAAAAAGTGAATATAGAGAGGCTGAAGGTGATAAGTAGTGAAACACAAAGACAGGCCCTGGTATTCATAAAGACTGGTGCAGGCAGATTTGACAGGCCCTAGTATTCATAAAGACTGGTGCAGGCAGATTTGGCAGGCCCTGGTATTCATAAAGACTGGTGCAGGCAGATTTGACAGGCCCTAGTATTCATAAAGACTGGTGCAGGCAGATTTGGCAGGCCATGGTATTCATAAAGACTGGTGCAGGCAGATTTGACAGGCCCTAGTATTCATAAAGACTAGTGCAGGCAGATTTGACAGGCCCTGGAATTCATAGACTGGTGTAGGCAGATTTGACAGGCCCTGGAATTCATAGACTGGTGCAGGCAGATTTGACAGGCCCTGGAATTCATAGACTGGTGCAGGCAGATTTGACAGGCCCTGGAATTCATAAAGATTGGTGCAGGCGGATTTGGCAGGCCATGGTATTCATAAAGACTGGTGCAGGCAGATTTGACAGGCCCTGGAATTCATAAAGACTGGTGCAGGCAGATTTTGCAAAAGTATCTCTAATGCATTCTAAAAGTGGTGAAGAATATGCCAAATTCTTCTGTGTAGAAGTTGTACTTGAATTTGGCTTATGCTGCACAACTTTTAGAATGCACATGAGACCCTTTCACAAAACCTTTCTGAACCAGTTTTTCCATGCGCCAAAAGAGAGCAGATCTTTAATTAGCTCCACTTTTACATTTGGCTCATTCGGTTCCTCACAATGTAAAATCGGCACATTTTAGAACTATCCAGATTTGGTGGACAAGTCACTGATCAGAATCAAGTGTGCCACAAATGCTTCTTGAGTAATTGTAATAATATTAACTAGAGGGAATAACGCCAGAATTTGGTGAAGCCGCTTTTTTATTTTTTAAATAACAGTTGTTTGACGCAGATTTTTATTTTTGGATGATATGTAGCATGATATTTAGCATGCTTAATATCCTCCAGTTAGGGGTTAGAACTACTTTTACTTCTGTTTCTCACTTTCCTGTCTGGTAACCATTATCTACAGGACAGGAAGTGAAGGGGAAATCTCTAAATGGAGCCCTTGATAGTCCTGTTCCTTATCCTGCTTTGTCCAGGACAGAAAAAAAGGTTTGGGCTGGACGTGTGTGTATATATGTCTGTGTGTATATACACACACACACACACACTTGTGTTCAAAATAATAGCAGTCAGACATCACTAACCTGATCAATCACTGTTTTTGGTAGAAATGATATTTCTACATGGCAAATAATTTACTAGCAGGTGTAGTAGAGTAATAGAAATCCAACAGACCCAACAGTCATGACATGCATGCTGCTGATTCTGTGTAATTGAATCACTAATTGAAAGGGGCATGTTCAAAATAATAGCAGTGTGGAGTTCTATTAGTGAAGTTCTATTAGTGAAGGTGGCAATTATTGCCCTTATTTAAGGAAGGAAGGCAGCAAATGTTGTACATGCTGGTTACAGTGCATTTCTCTCTGAAATTCTGAGGAAATTGGGTCGTTCCAGACATTGTTCAGAAGAACAGCGTACCTTGATTAAAAAGTTGATTGGAGAGGGGAAAACATATAAAGAAGTGCAGAAAATGATAGGCTGCTCAGCTAAAATGATCGCAAATGCTTTAAAATGGCAACCAAAACCTGAAAGACGTGGAAGAAAGCGAAAAACTACCATTCGAATGGATAGAAGAATAGCCAAAATGGCAAGGACTCAGCCAACAATTAGCTCCAGGAAGATCAAAGAAGGTCTAAAGTTACCTGTGAGTACTGTTACAATTAGA